TTATAAACCTTTCGCTTGAGACACATGGGAATTGAACTTTTTAGAATATGGCTTAATTTGCCAAATGCTGCCCATGTTAGACCTATTCGCCTCTGTATTTCATGTGTTTGATTGTCTCTGCTTATTTTGATTTCGTGTCCCAGATATTTGTAAGTGTCTGTTTGTTGTATGGTATTATTGTCAATAGTTATATTTCCACTCATTGCGAGATTTGTTATAATTTTAGTTTTCTCAAAGTTTATCTTTAATCCTGCTCTTTCAGACAGACTTTTAAGCGAATGCATCATAGAAACTGTATCATGTAAGTTATCTGCGATTAATACAACATCATCTGCAAACCTTAGGTGATTTAATCTTTCTCCATCTATATTGATGCCCATATCTTGCCATTGAGTACCCTTAAATATTGACTCTAGAGCTGCCGTGAACAATTTTGGTGAAATATTGTCTCCTTGTCTAACTCCTCGACCTAAGCTGAATTTTTCTGTGTCTTCGTGCAGTCGTATACTTGATGTAGCGTTCTGATAGATGTTTTTGATTAGTGTGGTGCACCTGTAATCTATTCGGCTTTGATTTAGGGCTTCCAGTATTGTTTCAAACTCTACAGAATCAAAAGCCTTCTTGTATTCGACAAATGCAAGAACCAGTGGTATGTTGTACTCGATGCACTTTTCTATTAAGATCTTTATGGTATGCAAATGGTCATTTGTGCCATATCCTGCCCTGAAGCCTGCCTGTTCTTTGGGCTGATAGAAATCAAGTTTAGGTGTTAGCCTCTTTGTTAAGATTTTCATAAAGAGTTTATACATATGTGTCAAGAGGCTGATGGGTCTATAATTTTCTAATTTAGTAATATCGCCTTTTTTGTGTAACAAGACTATTACTGCATTGTTCCAGTCTTTTGGAATCGTACCCGCATGTAAGCATTTAGTAAACAGTTCGCTTACTGGTTTTAATAAAATTTCTCCACCTGCTTTTATTGCCTCGATAACGAGTCCATCATCACCAGACATCTACCATAATTAATTATATTGTCTCAGATTTCTCACCTCATGACGTGCGTTCTACAATTATTAATGCAGGACTCTCTGACCATGAAGGAGTATATACCAAGTTTAACATTCTTAACAAATAATCTCGAAAACCCACCATTTTAGGTAGGATTTTTTCCGCCCATAACTTTCGTAAATTTCAAAATTTGTGCTTGACTTCTGAGTGACACTTTACCTCTGTGGACGTAGACTATAATTTCAGTGATTTTTTTAGATAAACTTGTCTGTATTTTCAATAAGACATTTCCTTTAATTACAATTAGTTATCCTCATATCAGCCAAGAATATGCGTTCACTATTGTACATCAAGAAATTTACTAGCAATGTCTTTGTAACTGAATATATCTCCAAGTACAGATCTATCTAAAACTTATCAAAACAGCTAAAAATTTTACTATGAGAATCGTCTGGGAAGCTCTAAAAATGTTGCAAGAGAAACTTGGTCCATAATAAACGATCTTCGAAATAAAACTAACACAGCTCAAACATTTTCTCTTCTAAATCCTAAAAATCTAAATTAATACTTCGTTAATGTCAGTAAAAATATAACATCAGCTATTTTGTCACAACAAGATCCTATTTCCTATCTCCCCAATTCAAAAAGATCTCGAATTTATTCTTTATAAGACCAGTTGATAAATCAGAACTGATCCAAACAGTCAGTAGTATCAAAAGCAAATCTTTCTATAGTACTGATGGACTATCTATAAAAATTTTCTTAAATCTCCAAAATAATGTGTTGGAAATCCTGGTCTCACTAATGAATGATTCCTTTGAAAAAGGTATATTTTCAGAGCCCCTAAAGACAGCCATTATTATTATTCCTATTGATAAGGGTGGTGAAAAATATAATGTCTGCAACTATAGACCTATTGCCTTACTACCGGTCCTATCCAAAAAAATTGAGAGACATATTGAACGCTCTTTATGCAAAACTTTTGATTTACTTAAAATAAAAACCTGGTCCGACTCATTTACTCTCTTTTAATGTGGTTAAGACAGTGGCAATATACTATAAAGGAGATCTTCAACCCGTGCTTCTTAATAATAGCCAGATCAGTATCATTGATTCTGTAAAGATTCTTGGTATTTTTATAGACAGCAACCTAGAATGGTCCCTTCATATCGATTTGTTAAGTAAGAAACTAGCCTCAGCCTGCTATGCAATAAGAATTGTTTCGAATTAAATCAATTTAGCATCTTCCAAAATAACATACTACTTTTCTTTGTTTGAGTCTCATCTTCGATATGGCCTTCCTTTTTGGGGTTCTAGTACAGTTGCCCAATCTGATGTTATTTTTAACCCTTTATAGGTCTGTGGTCGATATTTCGACCACTGCTCTTATTAATACTTATGAGCTAGTAATTGACATGAAAAGTTACCGAAGTGCAAATTCAGTGTTTGTAAATGAATTGTACCCAAAATGAACACCACAGAACAAAATACGGCAACGTGGCAACAATGTGGTCGATTCGCCAACCACAACCCATCATACTCTGTAAGTTACCGTTGAACGTGATCACAGGTTTTTGCCGTTTGTAAAAGTTAGAAAAATAATTTACAAAAGATTTATACATCAAACTCTAGGTAACACATCACAGTATTATGGTCTTTTATTATCTATTCAGATTTTATTGGCGCTAAGATGATATATCTTGATTTACTAAACATAACCTCAAAGTAGCACATGCTGATTTTACAATTTTTCTATTGAAATGTATTTTCACTCTTTTTTATTTTAAATCTATACAAGTATATTCTGTTTTACGTAAATCTGACTTACTTGAATAATATTTCCAAGAATTAAATTGCTGTGCGGTAGATCAAGTAATTAAATTGTTCAAGTATTTGTATACAACAATGTACGTATCTTTTGCAGTAAAATGGAACACCGCAATATACTTGAAATTTACAAAATATGACTCAGGATGATTTATTTGATTACATAGATGGTATTCCATATCAACAAGCCATAAATTCAGATTTTGAGGGTGATTCTGATGCAGAAGATAATCTTCCTATTTCCAACCGAACGTCGGTTGCATCCAACGCGACTATTACTTCATTGTCTAATGATGACAAGGTTGAATTTCTTGATGTTGATTCAGATGACTCAATGGATGATATAGCTTTCCACCCTCAGGTAAGAACAAATCGCATTTTTGACGATGTCGATACTTCCTCAGGCGAAGACGAAATAGAAGAGAACCAAGAGAACACAGTAAAGTACGATGATACATATAAATGAAGAAAGGACGCTTCTGATGTACAAAAATATTTTTCTTTGTTTTCTTTGTTCATGAGCAAAGATATTATAGCTAATATAATTACACAGTCAAATCTCTATGCTCAACAACAAAATCATAATAATCTCGACCTAACTAAGGAAGAACTGAAAGCATTTCTAGGGGTTCTTATAATCATGGGATTTCTGATATTAACTGATATTAACATGCACGTGCCAAGAGTTTCGCAAATTTTTACGCAAAAACGATTCTTAAAAATTCTTCGTTTTCTCCATCTAAACAATAACGAAAACATGGAAAGAAATCAAAATGACCCCAATTTTGACAACCTGTTCAAAGTATGGCCTTTGATAACAGAACTGCAGCAACGCTTTCAAGAGAACTTTTATACAAGTAGAAATGTTGCGGTAGATGAAAGTATGGTTGCTTTCAAGGGGCGAAGTTATCTCAAACAATATATGCCGAAAAAGCCCATAAAAAGAGGCTTTAAAGTTTGGGTCGTTGCATGCTCCGAAACTGGATACGTGCACAAATTTAGCATATATGAAGGCAAATCTCAATCACAACATGCTGAATATGGTATAGGCGCTAAAACGGTATTAGACATTACCGAGTCTCTTAGAGGCGCAAACTACTGCATTTATTTCGATAATTTTTTCTCGAGTTTTCCTCTTCTTAAGAAAATGTTAACCTATCATTTGTTCTGCTGTGGAACTTTTAGAATAAATCGTAAAGGCTTTCCAACACAAATGAGAAAGGACAAAACAATGAAAATGAGAGAACACGATTATTTCATGTCCAATGATATGTCTGTTGTTAAATGGAAAGATCGGGGGCGCAAATGCGTTTTAGTCGGCAGTACTATGCATAATCCACTTGAGATTACTTCAGTTTTGCGAAGAAAACCGAATGGTGAACAAGAAAGTGTTAAGTGTCCAAAAGCCATAAGTGATTACAATCGCTATATCTTTTTGGCCTCAGTAGAATAACACATTGTAAAAGCTACTTCAAAAATCACGGGCTTTTAACTCTTTCCTCTTTATAGACTCTAGAAACTGTTTGCTTAATTCGTAAACACCTACATGTTTTTCCAGCAAGACCTAATAATGACTACTACACCAGAAATTTAAGCTTTGATGTGTATTTATCGATCCTGTCCACAGTGACAATAAAGCATATACCTATCTATTCTATTCTATTCTATAGGATTGCAAACATTTTGAAAATTTGTAAATTTATTTTGGATAATTTTTAAAAATTTTTAATAAATTTTATACCATTTTACAAAAGAAGTTTTTACTTTATAGTAAGTTTTGTATAATTCACTTCAAATAAATGGTATTTGTACGCAGTTCCTGTCTAAAACATAGACCTACCTTAAAACCCTTTATCAGTACATGCCAGTCGTGGATAAACATTAAATATATGCAATAAAAATAACAATAAAAAATTAAGTTTTTTTCCATAATTTTATCAAAAATTCAAGAGGTGTCCGTTTTTCATGTCGCTGAGTGTATATTTGTTTACACTTATCTTTTTAAATTATATATCTATTTGTTTGCATAGTATAACCATGTTGTTTATTAATATTTAAATAATACTTAAATATAAAGTAGATTAAATTTAATGTGTTTTCTCATAAACACATAAATACTTTTCTAATACAATATTAACATTGGATGTGATCAGTTAATTGCAGACATTAGACTAGTCTTCAACTAATAATTTGAAAAACAAACTAACTATATATAAATATATATATATATATATATATATATATATATATATATATATATATATATATATATATATATGAGCAAAGACAACCACTAAGTAATTAAAAGTCTCTGAATAAAATGCAAGAAATTAATTGGATAGCAGTAGCTTTCATAGTTTTGCCACATACTGGAGGTCTTGCTGGGGGTATCATAACAAAGAAGAATATCTTTTGGTACAATGGCCTGAAAAAGCCTTTCGGCACACCACCCAGCTGGTCATTTAGTCCAATCTGGACGATTTTATATAGTAGTATGGGATATGCGTCATATATGGTATACAGAGATGGTTATGGTTTTGACGGTAAGTTCTTTAAGTCGCATCATTTAGAATAATAAATAAGTAGCGATTTTTTTTGTTCAAACGTTTATATCTCATTAGAATGTTTCTTCTTAGGATCCTTCTCATATAGGTGAAGGTGAAGGTATTATCTCTACATTCGTTATTCTATTTTTCTCATTAAAGTTCCGTCTTCTACTTATGTGGAAGATCAACATTACTTTATTATGATAGCTCTAAAAAGTTTGATGGAGCTCAAGTTGAACCATTCTATCAGATTTTACAACCAATGCGTTCTCTTTCTTTCTCTCTATCTTTAATACCTTTCATAATCAACTGTAGCAGTTTGTAGCTTTATCCTCTCATGACATGTCCAAAATATTCAAGTTTTCTCTTTTTAATATATTGGACGACTTCCTTATTTTTATAAAATTGGCGTAGAACTTCAATATTGGTTACTCTGACTTCCTACGATATACGCAGTATTCTTCGATACCACCAGTCTTAAATGCCTCTAATCTTTGGATCTCTGATAGTTCAAGATCCCAGGGTTCAGAGCTGTAGAGTAGCCTTGTAAAAACATACCAGCGCCTTAGCCTTAACCGTAATTCTATTGGTCCATATTATTCTGTGCATTTTGCTATAGTACCACATCTGTATAGTTTAAATTGTTGATTTAAGTTTGTTTTTTTTTCTCCATATTTCCAAGTCAAATAGCAATGTGGAAAATACGTATTATCGTAGTATTTTTGTACGCATATCTATATTAGGTTACGGTTAGATGAATGAATGTGTTCTTGTAATGTATATTCTACATTCAATTTTTTTTGTTATATCTGCTACCTCCGATAAATATGTTTCTAATTATTTAATTGCTACTGTTCATATAGTTCTTATTGACGAAGACATTAAGTATATTTCTTAGTTTTTTTTAAGATTATCATTAGTTTTATTCCTAATATTGTCCCAAAGCTATTTTCTTATGGAATTTTAAAGTAATAAACTTACTTTAACCTTTAATTGTGGCTTATTCCCATTTAAATATTAATTATTTTTATTCATATTTCATAATATTCGCATATGTCCATGTTGTTTACATGGTCTATTACGAATTACAACTTTTCCATGTCATTTGCAAAATAACCATAACGTCACCATATACTCGTATAACCGTATTGATGTTATTACCTTTAACCACAATATCTTACGCAGCTTTCAATAGAGCTTTCTTAAATATAATTTAGATGTTGATGCTGAATACCAATGGTAAAATTATGCATCCTTGTCAAACTCCCCTAAGTATATTTATTTTCTCTATCAGTTATCCCTTCACTCTAATCCACGTTGTCTTTTTTGATACATATACGATATAATTTTAGGTAGTCTTAAGAGTAGTTGTATGGTTTGGAACCAAGCATCAAGGAAAGGTCGTGCGCTGACGGGTTGAAAGATGAATGTTTGAACTTATTCTTCTTCTTATTCCTGTTTATAAGCAATTGTACTTGTTTATTGGAGAATTGATCCCTATAAGTCACTCCATATAGAAAGTCACTTTTGTCGTCCGATACTTCTTTTACTGATTGGTGATTTATCTGTTGTTATTTTGACCATACGAGTCTCCTTCATTCTGCTTATGTAGTCATTTCATTCTGTTTTCTATTTAGTGTCCTCTCGTTTATATTCTTCTTAGAGTGCCGTCTCCCTGCGGAGGTTGGCACTCATAATGGCTATTTTTATTTTTGAACTTGCTGCTCTAAACATATAAATCGATCTGCATTGATACCAATCACGTAGATTCTTCAACCATGAGTTCGGCTTTTGGCCAACAGATATTCTGTGATATATAGTGGTGATTAGTTCTGTTTCTTTACCAACCCTCTCCAGTACTTCTTTATTTGTAATTCTATCAGTCCATGATATGTTTAATACTCTGCATTATACCCAGAGTTCGAAAGCCTCTATTCTTTTTAAATTGAATTTTTTAATGTCCAAATCTCAGCTCCATATAATAATATTGAAAATATATAACAGCGAATTGTAGGTACGTAGCCTGACCTCCAAGTTTAGATTGTTGCACGTTAGAAGTGGCTTTATTTGTATAAATGCTGATCTGGCCATCTCTATTCGCCTGTTTATTTCTGCAGTATGATCATTCCTAAGTACTAATATTTTTCTACTTGCTCGATCATGTTACCATTTATTGTCAATAGTTTATGTATATTTTGTGGTTTTTAATAATGGTAATGATAATTAGCATGTACTTCGTTTTTTTTAGCGTTTATAGTAATTCCCATCTCAGCACTATTCATACTTAAGCTTTCGATAAGATGTTGTAGATCTTTTATACTCGTTGCTATGATCACAGTGTCGTCTGCATATCGTAAGTTGTTGATTAATTTTCCGTTAACGGTAACTCCCGCTTTGATGATATTGAGTGTGTTTTGGAAAATTTCTTCAGAATATAAGTTAAACGAAAGTGGCGATAAAACACATCCCTGTCTAACTCCTCTACAGATCTTCATTTCTTCTGAGTGTTGCCCATCAATTTCAACTGTGGCACTTTGGTTCCAATATAATTTGCATAATGCACTATATTTATGATTTTACTGTCAATACGCTTGTTTATAAATATTGATATTAGTTTTGCATGTCTTACTTTATCGAAAGCTTTTTCGTAGTCAGCACAAGTGTAGATCGACGTTTACATCCCAACATCGCTGAATTAATACGTTAATGGCAAATAGTCCTTCTCGAGTACCCATTCCATTTCAGAACCAGAACTGCGTCTCACTAATATCCTCCTCTAGCCATTCGTATATTCTCTTATGCATTACTTTCAGCAGTACTTTTAAAGTATGACTCATGAGGCTCAGTGTTCGATAATTAGAGCACTCTTTTGCTGCTTGTTTTTTAGTGATAATTAAAAATTCTGACTTCAGCCACTCTTGTGGTATTATTCCCGTATCGTACACCGTGTTGAATAAATCTGCCAATACTTCCAAGTTATTATCTTCCACTAATTTTAACAGTTCTACTGGTATTTCATCTAATTCAGCTGCCTTATTATCTTTAAAGTTTGTGATAGCATATTTGATTTCATCTATCGTGATCTTCTGTCTCTCTAAAGGATTTAACTCTTTTATTTTCTGCATTGTACCTCTTTCATCTTGGAAAAGTTCTCTAACGTACTCCTTCCACCATCTTAATTTCTCTGGTAAATCTATTAGTAGCACTCCTTTTTTGTCTTTTATGTGTCCTTGCTGTCTATTTCGACCCATTCCATTCACTTCTCTTATTTTTTTGTGCATATTTCTCATAACATATTTTGTTTCTAGTTCTTCTATCTCCTTAAATTATTTCATCAAATAGATTTCCTTAGCCGTTTTGATTTTTCATTAATTATTCGTTGTATTTCTTTATATTCGTTGTATTTCTTCTGTAGGCCTTCTCCTTTACATTTTCTTCTTTCTTCCATCTGTAATAGTATGTCTTCTGTCATCCACTCTTTTTTAGCCTCTGACCTATGTTGTATCAAACTTTCTTGAGCTGGTTTTAGTAATGTGTTTTTTATATTATACCACTTTTTATTTACATCCATAATTTATTTGTTGTCTGTTAGTGTTTTTTGCATATTAACATTAACATTATTTTTTAATTCGTTTTTTATTTCTTCGTTTTTTAGCATTCTTACATTCATTTGTGGTTGTTGTTTTCTGAGTTCAATTCTTTTTAATTTTATTTTTACGTCAGCAACTAACGGATTGTGGTCTAAGTTAGCGTCTGCTCCAGGATAAGTTTTAACTAAGTTTTTAGAGTTTTTATATCTGCTATTTACGAGTATAAAGTCTATCTGGTTTCTGACAATGTGGTTTTCTGTATGTGAATGAGACGTCCATGTATATAGTCTTGTCTTAGAAAGCTGAAAGCAAGTATTGGCAATTACTATATTCTTTTCTTGGCAGAATTTTATGAGCCTTTCTCCTCTCTCGTTTCTAGTTCCTGATCCGTACGTTATATTGTCTTCTCTCCTTTTTCGATTTCTAACTGTATTTTCTTTAATTCTTCTCAGTATTGTCATCACTACCGTTTCTAGCAACCTGTGTGTTGTTGCTGTGTCGGGTGTGTTTCTGTTGCATTTGTTAATATTAGTCTTACACTAGCTTTATAAAATCTTTACTTTATCTCTTCAACATTAATGACATAAAAGTTGAAAAATAGAAAAGCTACAGCTAAATACGGAATACGAAACGATCTAATAAAATATTGTAAAGCAACAATTATAGAACAACTAAAAATATTTATTAAAAAAAACTCTAAAGTACAATAAAATACGGAAAGATTAGGGAACTAGTGAACTAATTCTACTGTTAAAAAAATATAGGGTATAAAAACAGAAAACTACAGAGTTATAAACTTGTTAAATGCTACCCTGAATGTTTAGACTTAACAATATGTATTTTCTGAATAATATCTTAATCGTTTGTTTAGTCTGTTGTTTATCATTTGCTAAACTTTTAATTTAAACAAATAGCACATTATAGATATATTTTACGTGCACATGATTTAATTGTGCATTGTCAGAGTTTATTGTATGATTTGGATTTCGTTACAATTTTCTTCCACTCATTTCGATCTGTGCGTAATTCCCTACAGTTTCTCCCTTTCAGGATTTTGATATCTCTCATGACTTGGTCCTCCCATTTTTCTCCGGATCTTTCCCTTAGTCTTTCAGTTTCTGGTTTTCATCTGGAGACCTTCATCTTCAGATGAATTCAATTCAATCAGATTCTCCAAACCAGTTACTATTTTACAGTTTATAAGTTCTAGGGTCGTTTTATCTGGTTCATTTTGTGGCTGGAACGGTCCTGCTCCTGTTTTTAATCTATTTATTTTTACATTCGCTGCTGCCTGCCTTTCTAATTGTTTAATTTAGCCCAATACTTCTTTAATTGGTGTTTTGTTCGAAAGGTATTTAAACCTTTTGAATTATATTCAAAATGTAATTTTTCCCATGCCATAGCTTTATCTTTGGCAGACACACCGTTGGATCAAGGAAATTAATTCCTCCTTTTGTTGGACAAAAAAGTTACCTCTTTTGTTAAGTTTTTCCATGTTTCTAAACTATTTCACCAATAAAAACTTTTTCACTGACAAAAAACTACAACTATTACGTTAACTTTTAAAAGTATCCCTAAATTTTTAAACTATTATATTTATTTTAAACTAGCTACAAAATAAAATATCAAAATACACAAGAATGCATATCACCGTTTACATTTCCAATAAATATTGAAATCACATTGAATTAAAGATAGCATCAAAAATGACACAAATGTTCTTCTTTTTTGTCTTTTTCGTTTTTTTTTTTTGTTGTTTCTGTATTAATAACGAGTCAACAATTTAAGAATTTCTGACAATTTTACAAAGTTGGTATTTCTGAGAACTTAAATTTTTTCTTGGTTAAGTTAAGTAAACACTTGTATGGTGGAACGCAAATTACAACTAAGAAATTTTTTTGACTAAGCAAACTTGGGTAAGATTTTACTTAGACCACGTTGGTGGAACCGTGGATTCCTAAGTCATTTTTTCTTCTCTCTGTGTGTCCCAGCCATCTCAATCTCTGCACTTTCATAAATCTTACTATATATTTTTCCTTCATTATATATGTTTGTTTATCGTTCATTCTCTTCGCATTTCTCCCCTTTCCATTCTTATTAGTCCCATAATTCTACTGAGAATTTTTCTTTCAAATATTCTTAATTTTTCTTCATCCTTATCTGTGAGGCATATTATCTCAGCTGCGTGCGTAACTACTTGTCTGATTTAAACTCTATATATTTTTAGTTTTGTATTTCTGGATAAGTTCTTATCCTTCATGATTCTATTATATCTCCAGTAGGTTTTATTACCTGCTAATATTCTCTATATTACTTCTTCACTTCTGTTATTTTTGCCATTCACAATTATTCCCAAATATTTAAATTGTTAAACTCTTTCAAAAGTGTATCTATCTTGATTTCTCTCGTTTTGTTACCTTCTCTTCTAGAACAGAGTAGATTTTATTTTTCCTTCGTTAATTTCTCGACTTTATTTTTATGTTTCATTTGACAGGTTTGTACTGATTCTTTTAATGTTTCCTTGTCTCTTCCAATAAGAACTATGTCATCTGCTATGTGCTATGTTTAATAGTGTGTCGCACTCCTCTTTCTATTGTAATTGATCTTATACTACCTTCTTCTGTTGTTATTTTAGCTTGAGGTCGATGCATAGTCATTTTTGTTAATCTGATTAGCTTTCCGGTATACTTATCTTGATTTTTTATTTCATTGAATAATTTGTTTCTTCCAATAAGGTCAAAGACTTGTCTGAAGTATACGAAAAGGGTGTGGAGTTCTATGTTTTCGTTGCTGGTAGTCCATAGTTTTCTTCCCTGTGAATTAAGTGAGGTTGTGTCTGATGAGGATACTCTAAATCTACTTAAATAGCATATATTTCATCTATAGGGAGCAAAGATATAAACAAGTTGAAGGAGCACCAATGTTTCCACCACTATCACTGGTAATAGCAAACCTGTTTATGCAAGAAATAGAACAGCGAGCAATAGGAACAGCCGAACACAAACCCAAACTTTGACTCAAGTAGGTGTGATCCTCTTATAATCTGGACATATGGAGAAGAAAAAAGTAAAGGTATTTTTAGAATACATTAATAATATACACCATAAAATCCAGTTTACTAAGGAACTGGAAGAAAACGAACAACTACCATTTTTAGATGTGTTAATAATAAAGAAGGGAGACAGACACATAGGACATACAGTAGACCGAAAACCCACGCATACCGACAGATATCTACATGCCGATTCACATCACCATCCTGTATAATTACATTCAGTAATTAAAACCCTGATGGCACCATCCGAAAGACTGACAGATGAAAACATAAAAATAAAGAAATGGATAATGTGAAAACAACGCAAGAAAAACGGTTTTTCAACATATAATATTGAAAAGGCTCATAATGCTCAAGAAAGAATAAGGACCTAACAGAAGATGAAAAACCGATTGCAAAAGCCATTCTACTATATGTAAATAGTATAACAGAGGAAATAGGGAGAGTACCAAGAAAACACAAAATAGAAACGACATTTAATACCGACAGAAAAATCTCAACCATTTTACCATCCACCAAAACAAAAATATCTTTATAAAATCAAGGAGTATATGAAATTCCATGTGGGGACTGTGACAAATCGTACATCGGACCAACCGAAGAATCAATATTAGACGAGCATAGAAATGCCATCGAAAGGAGAGAAAAAACGTCGTCTCTTGCACAACATGCCTCAAAACATAGGACATACAATAAACTTGTACCAAACTACGATGCTAGCTAACATTGAAATTAAAATAAAACGCGAAATCAGAGAATCAATAGAAATAGAATAAAATCTCAACAGTCTAAACCAAAGAGATGATGCTCAAAGGCTTTCAACAACTTGGAAAACAGTATTAAAGAAAAAGTCAAAAATACATCAGACCACAAGACCGACTAGTAGAACCCCGCCTACCTACACACGGATAGGACATGTGTATATGTATGTACATATATATGTTCGGAAAGGTTTTAGCGCTTAGAACCATTAAATCTAAAACTAAGATTAATATTATTATAAAAATTAATATTGAACTCATCAGGCTTCCGGGTTGAACCGCGTTGATTATAACTGCGCCGAATTTTCTCTGAGCCCCCAGACACTTGTTCACTAATCACTGCACTACGGAGTAGAGTTACAGTATAAAGAGGTTATATGGAACCTCTGGAACTTCTTTATACTGTGGTAGAGTAGAGTCATCACTTAAGAAATACTATATTTTATTTTATAAAACAAATTACATCGGAGAAACACATATTTTTTCTTTTTCTCATATGTGTCATTAGTACCAACGAGTTTTATTATCAAATCAGGTATTAGTTATTTTTAGTTTTTCATAAATTTAAAATATTTATTCTGTCTGCCTTATAATTAATTGATAATAATTTTTATTTTTTTTTATTTGTTACATTGCGAAAAATAGTACTTTTTATATTTATTTTTTACATCCAATATCTTGGCATCTGATAAATTAAATTTGCAGCCTGTTATGTTAAAATGGTGTTCTACAACACAAGACTTTTTTCCCTGTTTGGTAATCACTTTTGTGCTACGTTATTCTTTGTTTTCACCACTGCGATGTTTGTCCCATTTTCGGCCTATCACATTTGAGACAAGAAAGTTGGTAAATGAGATGACTTTGATTTAGAAGCAGGTCTCTAGTATTTAAGCTTCAAGAATAAGCTGTAATTGTATATGCTGCTATATTTAGCTATTTTAATTTTAGAAATTTCACTCAGCAGCTTAATATATTGTTAGTTAAGCCATTTACGTATTGTAACTTTTTATAAATAACGAGATATGTTGGCCTGTTATCAAATTACCCGACATATAAGTCTAAGTTATAGATTAATTAATTAAGAATTTTACTAGGATAACAAAAATATATTGTATTGTATAGTACTTTATTGTATTGTATTGTGTTGTGTTGAATAACGTGGTCAAATGATGCTACATGCTACACAAAGTCAAATATAAAACTTACTAATGTTTAATTATTAAACAGTATCTGTGCTTTTTTGAATTCTGTTGCCTCCAGGTTAGAAAGTATTCTGTTCTTTGCAAATTCTACATATAAAACTGACAATTCTGTTTTTTCCTTATAAAAAGCTGAACGTTTTTGCAATTTTTCTCTATGGATGTATTCTCATTTAACTCATTTTAAATGAATTGATCATATGTATGGATTCGTATACGAAGCATCTTCAACAAAACATGAAGTAGCAAGTATCCTTTCTTTTATTCCCCAACTTTTGACCAAAAACCATGTTTATTCTGAAACCAGCTAGTTAGTATGAACTATATTCGCTATGTTACTTCTTCACTTCTGTTATCTTTGCCATTCACAATTATTCCCAAATATTTAAATTGTTAAACTCTTTCAAAAGTGTAATTTTCTATTTTGATTTTTTACTGATTCTTTTAAACTTTCCTTGTCTATCCCTATAAGAACTATGTCATCCTCTATGTGCTTCGTTAAATAGTTTCTATTGTAATTGATCTTGTGCTACCTTCTTCTGTTGTTATTTTAGCTTGAGATCCATACATAGTCATTTTTGTTAATCTGGTTAGGTTTGCCGGTATACTTATCTTGATTTTTTTATTTCATTGAATAATTCATTTCTTCCAATAAAATCAAAGACCTGTCTGAAGTTTACGAAGAGAGTGTGGAGTGCTATGTTTTCGATTGTCTTCGAAGCATCTTCAACAAAATATGAAGTAGCAAGTATCCTTTCTTTTATTCCCCAACTTTTGACCAAAAACCATGTTTATTCTGAAATCAGCTAGTTAGTACAAACGTTTTTATTTGTTTAATATGTCGTTTAAGTTAAAGATAAGAATTAAGTTTAAATATAGTAATCTATTATTTAATCTTATTTGTAGGACCTGCTGGATTACCGCTTCTTATATACGCAATCAACCTTTTAGCTAATTGGACGTGGACACCTATGTTTTTCGCAAGGAAGGATATGAAATTAGTAAGTTACAATAAACGAAAACAATTTTATACATAGTAGATAGTATATAGTTCATAAAACTTGCTTGGGCTTACCTTAAACACTATAAGATCGCACAAATAATACCTAAATTTAGTATATTTATTTACATAAGTATATCAAGGATTCTATATCATTCATAGAATTCATAGATTCATAGAATCCTTCGAAATAAAGCAAGCTTTGGCACAACTAAAGAACAATAAGGCTCTGGGCCCAGATGGAATCCGTAGAAATGTTGAAGGAGGGGAGTGTAATTATTCTCGAAAAATTGAAAATGTTTTTCAACAAATGTCTTCACAGAGAAGTCCCAGATGATTGGAATGAAAGTTTGACAATACTTCTCTTCAAAAAGGAAGACAGTGGAGATCTGAAGAACTATAGACCAATCTCCCTGCTATCCCAAATGTACAAACTGGTTATGAGAGTAATAACTAACAGGTTAACGTCAAAGCTCGATAGCTATCAACCGGTAGAGCAGGTAGAATTCCGAAAGGGTTATAGTACAGCAAATCATCTTCTTATAGTCAGAACGCTAATAAAGAAAGCCAATGAATATCACTTGAACTTTGGGCAATAGAGAGAGCTATGAACAACTGCAGGATAAACTCCCGATACAGAATGCTCATACATAATACCTATTTACAAGAAAGCTATAATGAAAATACAAATAGATGCGAAATCCAAAGCTATACCAATCAACAGAGAAGTTCGCCAGGGAGATGTAATCTCACCAAAGCTATTCACACTTGGACTGAAAGACTTGTTCAAAGACATTAACTGGGTAGATAAAGGAATAAATGTTAATGGAAGAAAACTGAGTAATTTGAGATACGCTGATGACATTGTAATATTCGCTACAAGATTAGAAGAACTACAGACCATGATGACGCAACTATTTCTCAAGCTTCAGAAAAAGTAGGTTTTAAGATGAACTTGAAAACAACAAAAATTCACCGAATATTAGAAAAAACACATTGAACGACATAAATTTAAAAACAGTAAGCGAATACATCTACCTGGGACAGATAATGAAAGTTAACAAAGAGAATCAAACTGCTGAAATTACCAGAAGAATAAGGTTAGCGTTAGCGTGGGCAGGATTTGGAAAACTGAGTTGGATCTTGAACAGCACTAAAATAGAACAAGATTTGAAGACCAGAATTTACGATCAGTGTATCCTCCCTATATTCACGTGTGGTTCATAGACGTGGGCACTCACCAAGGCTAATATGGATAAAATAGTAAAAACGCAAAGAGCGATGGAAAGATCAATGCCCGGGATGAGACTTATAGACAAAAAAAAACAAACAAATGGATTAGAAGCAAAACCAAAGTAAAAGACGCAGGAGAACAGGCTGCCAAATTAAAATGGAGCTTCGCAGCACACAATGCCCGACTAAAGGATAAAAAATGGAATCACGAAATACAACAATGGAGACCATGGTTAGAAAAGAGAAGCACGGGAAGACCGCAAAGAACATGGGCTAATGACATTAAGAAGATTGGAGGACACAACTGGAAGCAAGTGGCGCAAAATTGGAAACACTGGATTGATTTGGGGGAGGCCTATCTCCAAAGTTTGATTACTTAAGGCCAAAGAAGAAGAAAGTATATAAAAAAAATTGCCAACTTAAAGTCGTACAACGGATATTAAATTTGTTTTTGACTATTAAATTTGATTTAATATATTCGTACAAGATGAGTAGAAATCACTATTATTTTTAAAAGATCTATTCCCCAGCCAATGAACGAAAAGTTTAAGGCTGTTTTAGCAGTCAACGCACACTCCGATTTGAAATGGGCGTATCAATTACTTTTCTACACTGCTTGCGCCAGCCGACGACGGGTACAGCGGGTACAGTGGCGCCGACCGACGGATAGTTTAATGACAACAAATGCATTATTCTCCATTTAAATTAGTTTTGTCAGGAATACCTTTTTTGAATGATTATCGTAGATGTTTTAAAAATAATTATCACATTTTTAATTCGTATGTCTTAGATAAAAAAATATAGTATTGAATGAAAATTTGTGAAACGTTACTGCAAAAAACATCATGGTGTTTATTTATAATAAATTCAAAATAACAAAAAAATATTATTATCAAAAAAAAATACAATTTGTTGTCACAAAGAAATAAACAATTTCGCAGTTATAGCTTGAAAATGATTTCAAATCGAACTAACTGACCGTACGTTCATGAGATTTGACGTCACGAACCCGATAACGGTGGAACTAAGTGCCAATGATGAGTAACACGTTTCACTATTCGATTTCAGTATTTTTTAGCAATTTTCTTCAAAGTTTGAACACTCTTTTCTCGATTATTACCGGACACAGAAAGGTGAAAAAAAAAATCAACGATTACAAAAAAAAAAAACTCTTTCAAGTGATGGGCGTAAAAAGTTTGGTTATAATAGAACGTTAAATTGCATAATCCGATATTTCAAAAAAACTTTCAAAAAATTAAAAAAGTAAAACAATCATTTTAAAGGCAACATAATTTTGAATAATGTGTCCAAATTTCGAGACATTTTGTCCGTAAATAACAGAGAAAACTCTATCTCTAGGTTTTGGTGTACCGATAAAACAGCCTCTTAGAAGTATATGAGGAGTGACTGATGAAAAATCCGTGAAGACGTACAACTGATTTTGCTTAATTTTTTTTAACAATCTTAAAAAGTGAAAAACACAGTTTTTTGTCTATAAAAAGTTTTTATTACACATTTTAGAGAATTTTTTTTAATAAAAGTTATAATATATAAGAAGTACTTTATTTTGAGAGTTTCCAAAATAAAATACATAGACAATTGTCCGAGATAAGTCCACTTATTTTTGGAATAATTTATAAATTTTAATTTGTTAATAACTTTGTTTTTTGCATAAATAAATGTAATATAACTACTTAAAATTGTGACGGTTAATGAGTTATTAAAATATCAAAAATTTCAAACAGATCGACCAAATAGTTAAATTATTCAATTTGTTTATCCCGGAAAACAAATATTTAAACAACTGTACTTATTTAATCAGTCACTCTAGAGGTATTTTATAAATCGCAATTGATTCCTTAAGGCTTCATTTATAAGGTTTATTAAAAAACTTTGTAAAGAATTTGGTATTAAAAAACAGTTTGAAAAATGGTTGACTTATTAGCTTCTAAACATTTAGCCAAACAAAAGCTGGTGAAAAAGCACACTTTCCAAAAACAAACAGAACATTCTATGACCAATAACAAGAAATAGTTGAAACTATATGGGAAACTTTGTTATTAATAATTTTACGAAAAAAAATTTTTTTCATAAAAAGTTCTGCATGTTTTAAAATCTAAAACAAAAATTATGAAATATCAAATTTGATCAATAGTATACGAGGTAGGTCAAAAAATATGAATTTCGCTCAAGAGTAAAGTACCTTTATATTTCACATTATCAAAAATTGTTATTAAGAAAAGTTGATTAAAACTAAAAACTACATTCAAATAAATAATTACATACACTTACATTGAAAAAAAGAGTTTTGGTATTTTTACTTACCTTTTTATTTTGAATAAACATTTTTATCTCTTGTGAACAAGAATCACATAATATCATAATGTTTCTAAATGTTTTCTGACAATTTTGCAATTTAAACACATAATTAGTGCATGTGCATTTATTTTGCAAATAGGAGCATATTTAAATAGTGTAACTAACAGAACATTCTTGGAAAGTAAAGGGTGTTTGTCTTAGTTGAAAAGTAAAGGGTGTTTTTTAGATGTATAGAACTTTGAAATTGAATAAAACAAAAATTATTTTATCAATGGACATGAAATTGACTTTTATTCGAAAAATAATATTAAAAAGTGAAACTTGAGCAAACCATAAAGTGGAGATACCCAGGAGTGGCTAGTATACCTGTTGAATACAAAGCACGTGGTGGTCGTGTGTATTGAGGTATAAAAAAATGCTTATTAAAAGCTTAAAATTTTTATTTTAAAGAAGATCTTTTCGGAATTGAATCATTCCATCATCAGTTTAATAAAAAGTTGTCAAAAAACATTGTAGGGCCACATGAAAACATAGGAAGGAACTCCGTATTAAAAAACAATCCTAATGGTGATTATGAAGGTAAATGCAATAGACTGTTAATTTGTTGATTACTAAAAACTGAAAATGGGGTCATGTAAGATGCCCCCATTTTCAGTTTTTAGTAATCAACAAATAACTTAAAAAATTATGTATGATACTACAGGTTACCTTAGGACTTGTGTACATACCAAAAGATTGAAGGATAATAGGGGTAGGTTTTACAGCCAAACCTGGCAAAATTGGACAGGAAAAAATAAGTCCCCGAGGACGATATTTGTTGTCATTCATACTGAAAACTCTAACAAAAGCCGCTCGACAGGCATATTATAGTGGCTTCAAACGATCGGCGATTCTACAGATCATCGCGGACAACCGATCAGCACGGACGGCAACGCACCACAGACAGAGCTCTTCCTACGGTCCGTGACAGTCTGTGTAGGTCCGTGACAGTATTGTTTGATTATATCATAAAAAGGCCACTCAGGCTTGTAAACATCATCTTCACTTCCAGTTCCCATCGATTCTCTAACTTTTGTATGTCGGCATTAAATTATTTCTCTTCTTTTTTAATTCTTTAATCGAAATAGTACTATTCTTCAATTGATTTTTTATTGGGTTCGATGCATCGTTCCGGTTCTTATGCTCTGGCGCAGTGGAATTTCATAAACTTGGTTCATTTTGATACAAATTTAAAAAATCAAAAATAACTTCGTTTGTTCATTCCATTTTTTAGCAAAAAACAGCAAAACAACTTTGACGACACTACAGACAACTACTCGTGTCAGCGAATGAAAAACTTCTGACTTGCACTTGTCTGTTAAAACACAGACGCGCTAGGATCGCGTTGCACGAGCATATACCGCACCTTTGATGTTACCGACTCTATATGGATAGGACGCACCAGCACGGACTTGCCTGTACTACCACGGACGAGACCTTTCGCATGGTGCGTGGTGCGGGCTGGTCCGCTTACGTCAGCAATATCGCCGACCATGGGAAGCCGCTTTTAGAGATTAAGTATTGTTTGAAATTCCGATACATCAGACATAGTATGCATATCGAGCAGAACTATTTACGGAAACAGTACTGCATCATCTCGTACAGAGAGAAAACGTTCTGAAAAATTAACGCTGGGTACATTTCCCGATATATAGCGGACACTCGACAATACCTCCTACAAAGCAATCATAAGGACGATTGGTCTAAAAAGAATATACGAAACAAGCTGTAGATGCATAGACTGTCTGCTGGGGTTTATTATGTATTATAGGCAACATTACTAGGGAATGCAGTGTCAGCACAAGTAGCCAGAGGCTGTCCGCAGGGGGACTTTTATCTCCTCTCTGGTCATGAATGGCCTGATAGCTACTCCCAGCTCTATGATCCGACGAGGCAACATAACTCTTACTAGGAAAATATGCCCATTCAAACACGTGGTAAAATATTTATTGGATAGGCATGTGCTATTAGGGTTAAAATACTAACAACTAAGGTATCAGCTCAGTCCTAGTAGGCTTCCTTACTGGACAATCGCCAGTCAAAAGACACTGCATACAATGGTGCTATATCATGGAGACTTAAGTCGCAGACTCTGAAGCTGTCAACCATATCTTGCATGACTCCAAGGCATTAGATCGCAGATGTCAAACTCTTTTTGGAGACTACTAAATAACTCCAAAAACATATGGTACCCACCAAATAGACCTGAACAAGCTAGTAGGTACATGGTTTAAATAATTCTGGAATTAAAAAAATAATAGGAACGCAAAACTTGGAACTTGATATCCAGAAGCAAATATCTAAATTACTTAGTTTTAATTTTGATGGGATTATTGTTTTATTATTATCTATGTACGAGCATAATTATTAGACTACTCTTACCCAAGAGCATTTAATTTATACATTTATAGCCAAAGTTGTTACTAATATATTCTTGTTTTATTTTTAGGCCCTCTACAACATGCAACTTATCGACGCTACAGCTCTTTGTATGGCTTACCTCTTCTACAAAATAAATAGCACAGCTGGTTTTCTTATTATGCCATATCTCGCATGGTTGGTCATATCAACTTATCTCAATTATACCTTTATGATAAGGAACCCACCCAAAAGTGCAACAAATTAAAAAATATTAAATATATGTATTATAGTGATAAATTTATTATATCAACGTTTAGTTACAGCGACAATCGTTTCAAAGTGTATAATAAAATGAAAATCTGGACATACGTTGTAATCTGTATCTCCAATTCTCACAATCCTTTTCGTGCATTAGTTTAGATTGTAGTCTCCTGTTCTTAAAAATATCAATGCTGAAACTAAGAAGATGAGAGTATCACAAGCGAACTGCACTTATTTTTGCGGGAAGAGTTGTGGTGGATAATCCATTTAGATGTTTCCATGTAATCCATTTAGGATTTCCGCAGACTAAGAGACGTGAACTAAAAAAACATTAAGCAGCTTTTCGTTTACTTACTTTATCATGACATATCATTCATAAAATTTCGGCCCAGTATCGGGCTACGTCGGTTCCATCTTTGTTGGCGAGCCACAAATCTTCAAGGGTACATCGATGAGGATAGTTTCTGCATGTAAGAAGATGTTCCATATTCTGTGTTTCTCCACAGTCACAGTTCATATCATCTTGGTCTATTTTTCCCCATTTTGCCATATTTGATTTTACTGTAGCAACCCCCGTTCTTATCCTATTCAAGGTTTTCCACGTTTTAAAGTCTAGGGTCTGGCCGGTCCATTGAACCTGGGGAAGTGGAAAATACTCAGGCGGTTCATCCTGCACTGTTCCAAGGAAGCTTTTCCTAGATTTTAGTCTCTTTCGTGGTGTTCGAGCTTTGTATAGGGCATGCCGATCGTCCGCGATTTGTTTAATTTTCTCTATGTGTTCTGCAGCGCCTCTGCGTGTTGAGGGTTTTGCAAAACCCGCTGCTCTATATAGATTTGAAAGTGGCGTTGGTTTCATGCACCCCGTTACTATCCTGCATGTCTCATTTAGCGCAGTATCAACTTGTTTGGTGTGGGCAGATCTGTTTCCCTCTTGTTTTTATGCAATGTTGTCTGTAGGTGAGGGACCGGTCCAGAGTTACTCCAAGATAATATATAGGTTAGTTTGTGTGTTCTAATGTATTATCATTCCACACAATTTGGAGTGTTCGCTTGGCTTCCTTTGTGCGAACGTGGAAAGCGCAGACTTGGGTTTTAGAGGGATTGGGTCACAGAGAATTCTGCAGGTAGTACGCTGTCATTGTTTTTAAGGCAGTTTCGAGTTTCTTCTCCACTTCTTCAAAACTATTTCCTTGAGCACATATTGCAAGATCGTCAGCATAGAGGAAGTGCTTAGTTTCGATCGGAGTAGGTTGGTCGTTTGTGTATATATTGAAGAGCATTGGTGCTAAAACACTTCCCTGTGGGAGGCAGTTTTTTTGAACTCTCCACCTACTTACTTTACTCTCCAGCATAACGAAAAAACGTCTATTTTGCAGTAAGGAATATACGACCTTTCCCAGATGGTGGTCATTGAGAGTGTCGTATAATTTGCGGAGCAATGTTTTGTGCCTTACTGTGTCATAGGCTGCTGTCAGATCAACAACAGCAGCCCCTATTATAAGTTTTTCTTCAAAGCCCTCTTCAATGTGTTCTGTTAATGCGAGGACTTGACCGGTGCAAGATTTGCCAGGTCTGAATGCTCCTTGTTGTGGCATGAGGTGCTTGTCGACATTTTTTTCTATTCTGGCGAGTATGAGTCTCTCGTATAGTTTAAAGAAGTGACACAATAGCGAAATAGGTCTGTAGCTACTGGGGTCTTCTGGATCCTTTCCTGGTTTTAACAAGGCTATTACTTTAGATTTCCTCCATGATTTTGGAATTTTGCAGGTTTTGCAGCACGGGTTATTAAATTGCAAGATCCAGTTTTTTGCTCCTTGACCTAAATGCTTTATTTGTTCACTGCATATATCATCCACACCTGAAGCTTTCTCGTTTTTTAACCTGTTCAGACCGTCGTAGAGTTCTTTTAGTGTAAAAGGAGTTCCTAGGTGGTTTGTCTCCGAATCCAATGTTCTCCTAGTGTTTGGGTCCTTATATCGGTTAGTAGTTCTTCCATTCGTAAGGAGTTGAATAGCTGAAGCAGCGGTCTCCATGTTGCCGGCAACCTCGTAATTTAGCGTCATTGCACGTTTCATGCTGTTAGTCCGTTTTTCAAATTCGATAGCTTCACGAATGATTCTCGATTTTAAGGAGCGGATAGAATAGAACGATGGTTTTTACTTTTTCGAAATCTATTTTGTGGCCTGTCTGAATATGATGGTGGGCTAGGGCTGAAGTAGTATCGGAATGTTTGACAGATATAGAATATTCTTAAATACGGTTATGGATTCGTCGCCCTATGTACGTGGGCAACTTGAACTAAGTATCTCGTAGACACCACGGTTTTCAATGGGGATTTTGTCTTTTACGGATCTAACGAGACTGGACAACTTCCATCTTCACTACTCACTCCAAGTTAACTGAAAAGTTCTCTGTATCGGATTAATATTTCTGCTTTGTGATGAGATCGCCATTTTTCTTTTTACATTGTGTTATTCTAGGTTGGTATCTTTTTTTATGTGATTAACTTAAAGAAAAGTTCTTTTCTTCGGCGCTAAGTATGTATTTATCTATCTGTCTCTTATCCTTATAGTCCTTCGTTGCTCTTGTCCTACATATTTGAGTTTTTCTGTAGGCTTCGTTTTTATTTCTAATTTTTAGTTCTGGTCTTCGTATTCTCCATCATAACACTCATTTCTCCTTCTTATCTGTTGCTCCATACCAACTATTTCTTGTGCTGTAGATTGTATTAGATCTCCTATTTTGTTCCACTGTTCGTTATATTTGCAAGTACATTTTTAAGGAGTTCTGTTAGTCGTCTGTCCACATCGAAAAGTCATCGACCTTACTAGGATCTATAAGTTCATTAACGTTATACCTTATTTGCTTTGTTCATTTCTCTTTTCTAACTTCTGATATTCTTGACCGTATCTTCGCTATAATAATATGATGACCCAAATCCATATTTGCTTCTTTGTAACTGCGACAAGTCTGAACCATGTCTAACATAGACTGCCATGACATTTTCATAGTTTTTAAAAGACAAAGTACGATACTGTTGACAAGACCCCAATTATATTCGGCTATAATCGAATTTGGAATACCAAAAGGATTGATAGAATTAACTGGAATGACAATGAGAAAAGTTAAATGTAAAGTGCGAGTACAAGTGGATCTTTCAGAACTATTTGCAACCAACGGAGGACTGCGGCAGGGAGATACGCTATCACGCACGCTTTTCAACCCAGCGTTATGAGAGATTCGAGAATACACTTAAAGGGTACAATAGTTACTACACCTTGTAACGCCTTGGTACACCTTGGATGAGGTAATGGTTATGTCATGTGGATGAACAGCTCCGAATATGCACATTGCTATAATTAATGGAATTATGTTAAATCGTTTTATAAGTTAATAAATAGTTATGTTTTATTTGTCAACAGAACTTACAGGAGGATAGAAGGATGAAACCGAAAAATGTAGCTGCAATTGAAGAAAACTTAGATAAAGTAATAATCAGAGAGAAGGTACAATTAAAAATGATAGTGGTCATCAAGCTGATAGAAGTTATGTCCAATATAAGTCATGCTTTAGATGTGGTAGAAAACATGATTCATCAAAATGTCCAGCCAAAGCATGGCAATGTTTCAGTTTTAAGAAAGGGGGACATACAAGTACTGTCTGTCGTTTGAAAGTTATGATGTTAGAAGGAGATATACAAGATGAAGTGAAAGAAGAAAATTCATTATTTCTGGGATTCTTGTCTTTATTAGAACCTGAAAATTCAGCCCTAACACCAAAAAATATAACTGAAATAAAGTCATATTTAGGTTTACTAAATTACTACGGAAAGTTTATTCCGATGTTGTCATCCAAATTAAAACCATTATATGAACTGTATCAAAATAATATTGATTTTGATAGTCGCTGGTCACCTGAATGTGATCAAGTATTTCAAGAACGTAAGAAGGGGTTAACATCTAAAAGTGACATTACATATTACGATCCGTCTCTTCCAATTTATGTTACATGTGATGCAACTAGTTATAGTGTTGGTTGTGAAGTCATAACATTGGTCATGTAGAGAAACCTCTCATGTTTACATCAAGTACTTTATCTAATACGAAAAAAAGTATGGTAATTTGGAAAGAAAGGCCTTCGCTACTATGTTTGCTCTAAATAAATTTCATAAATATCTTTATGCTCGCAAATTTACGCTAATTACGGATCATCAGCTATTACAGTTTACCTTTGACAAAAATAAAGGAATTCCCGTTTCAGCGGCTGCAAGAATCACAAGATGGCCTATCACTCTGTCGAGTGATATCCAAGTGATCAATACGATATTCAGTATAAAAAAGGGGCAGCAATTAATAATGCTGATGGTTTATCAAGATTACTCTGTCGCGAAAATACAAAAATTACAAATAGTTTGTATTCTTTTAGCTTAGTAGATATATAATATGGATTTGTTGTTATTAAAAGTAAAAGATTTTATTTTGTTGGGTTTGCCCAGGGAAATGAGTGATGAAAATTTTAAATTACTGTACTTATCTAGTATGTAGTAATGATGTTATAAAATTCACGCATGCAAATGATATGAGAAAAGTCAGAGGTGCTGACGAGACCCAAAAGTCAGAAACTACTATAGTGTGTGGTAACATGCCAGTGTTACAATTGAACCCACAGTGAATCCAAATTCCAGACACGAATCGGTTCAATTAGAACCAAAGAAGTCCATCCCAATTTCATCACAAGAAGAAACAAACCCATCGCTACCTATGGATAGCAATATTAGAACGCGCTCAGGAAGATTAGTAACAGCTCCCATTAAGCTTGATCTCTAACAAGGGAGGAGATGTTATATATTAATACTGCATCGGAACAGTAGACACTTCGAAAAGATTGGACATGCTTGGGTTAGGTTATGTCATGTGGATGAAAAACTCCGAATGTGAACGTTTCTATAATTAATGGAATTATGTTAAACCGTTTTATAAGTTAATAAATAGCTGTTTATATGTATGTGCTTTATTAAATACACAACAATTGGAAGATTCCGAAATGAAGCAGCTGAAACCATAAAAATGGTGGAAGAATTTTGCTACTTAGGGTCACTAATAGACTA